TATTTCAGATGAGAGGTACTAAACCTGCTTAACAGCTCAGAATTATTCACCTTCCACCAGTTCCTTCAGTTTCTTTCTGAGTTTGTTTATTTTGGTATTGACAACACCTGATCTCCAACTATGTAAGTTTAACTCCACAAATGCAGTATTTTATCAATCATTCCTGAGCTTTACAAAGCTCTGGTGCCAAACACGGCAAGGACAGAGTGACAGAGAGGAGAGAGCAAAGAGGAGAGACCAACTGATGGCAACTTTTACTTAAAAATATCTCAAACACTCTACGCATTCAGCCATCTCTGGCAAAGTCTTAAAAATCTGGCAAAAGAATTGCTCAGTGTAGTGCAACATTAAAAGTCTAAGAAAAATGGGAATCTTCTCAATTACAAATCCTGCAAGGTGGTGTCACTCAGAAACAGCCAAAAAATATTGAGCCACTAGATTAAAAGTTTAAAAATTCACGTGTGCTGAACATTTCTGTGAGTTCCCATTGTAAGCTGTTGTTCTCTGCCCACCAGCACAACGAAGGATTTGTGCTTTTTATGAAAAATAAAAAATAGATACTTTTGCTTTCAAACAGATAACTTAGATTTCCCTTCTCTTTTTAGGGGAAGAGGTTTGACCCACAGAAAGGATTAAAACTAGGAAGCTTTGGTGAAAATTTTGATGACAGTTTTGCTATAAAACTAAATTGAAAAATATTGAAATGTTTACATTGAAGGGGAGATGGCAGCTGGCTGTCCAAAAGACAAGTTGGGTTTGTTTTTAAATTTGGGCACATCACCACTTTAATTGACAGAGCTAATTAACAGAAGGACCTGCTGGGCATGATGCAAAGCATGTTCCAGCTGAGAGAAATGGGGATGTTTGCCTCCTGGTTATGCCTGGGCCCATTGCAGAACTGCCAGCAGAGCCTCTGACCTGTTTGGATTTGTTCAGCAAATAACAGAGAGTGCAAAGCTGTGAACTGGATACAATTTATAAGCACAAGGAAAATCCAATTCAGGCCAATAAACTCAGAGATGGAGGGTTAAAAGGCCATTGGGGCCTTCTGGGGTCTTCCCTTGCCCTTTCTCTGCGTAGGGCTTGGATTCCATAAGCATTGCTAATAATATTGTTGTTTGCACGTGGGAGAGTGAGGCTTGCAGGGAGGAAATAACTCCTTGTGCTGTTTGCTCTGCCCAGTTAGGTGCTTGCAGGTATTTCTGCTGGCATTATTATTTGTCATTAATGAACAGAATCATCACGTGGTCCTAGCAAAGCCACCAGCAGCTCCTCGGGGACAGCTCATTAATTGTGTGGCTGTAAAACCTCACTTTTGATAACTCCCCACATCTGAGGCTGTACTTGCTGGGGTAACTCCTTGTGCTGTTTGCTCTGCCCAGTTAGGTGCTTGCAGGTATTTCTGCTGGCATTATTATTTGTCATTAATGAACAGAATCATCACGTGGTCCTAGCAAAGCCACCAGCAGCTCCTCGGGGACAGCTCATTAATTGTGTGGCTGTAAAACCTCACTTTTGATAACTCCCCACATCTGAGGCTGTACTTGCTGGGGCTCCAGCAGACATTCTACCTAAGCAGCTTTGCATTTCCACCAGTGTGTCAGAGATGACTAAGGAAGAAAGTATTAAATTTGACGTGTAGAAACTCCCAAGCATTGCTGTCTTTAACAGGAAGGCAGATGGAGTCCCAAGTAAACTTCAGCATCAGATCCCTAAATAAATAGTCACAGAATCATAGTGAGGGGCTCTGCAGCTGTACCAGGAGCCACTTGCCTGTGGAACACCAGGGATTCATTAGAGCAAATTCCTTGAAAGGAAGAGTTGGGCAATAGGCAAGTGAACATTTCCCATTTTATCCCTAGAGTTAAAAAAAAGTCTCTCCCAATTAAATTTTCTCATCTCAGCCATTAGCAGTTAAATCCCAGACTATATGCCACTGTATATGTGCTGGGGCAAAGGTGAGAACATAAAATGCATTTCCAGTTTATTGCTGTTGCAATTTCTCCCCTTGGCAGTTTTACAGCAGCAAAACATTCATACACAGAGAAGCACTACATGCAAACTCAACAGCTATGAGCTCAGATAACCTGCCCCAAAGAACTGCAACACAAAAGGTTGTTTTGTGTGCAAAAAAGAGAATATTCAACTATCATCTCTTTGGGAAAAATATAGGCAGGCAAACAAACCCAAAGAGCCACTGCAAAAAACAAAATAATTAACAACTTCCTATTCAGGGACTTCTTCTCTCTTCAAGAAGCAAAATCAATGGGATCTGTCTCCCTGTTACAGAGGGTTCTAGAAATGTAGCTGAATTAAATGCAGCATAGACAGAAATGCTTGCAAGGCATTTTTTTTAACTGTATTTGATCAATAAACATCTAAAGAACTCAGGGGAGCCACTGTGGCTCTAACAGGGCTGGACATCACCCACCAAGAATACATGAGCTAATGTCTTCCAGTCTTTACTCTTCTGAATAATGCTTAGGGCCATAACTGCCATTTCTGTTCTCATTAGCAAAAAGGAACAAAATCCTCAAGAATTCCTGAGCTGCTCAGTCCTAAGGAGCAATCCCAAGCTCTGCACATGGGTCACCTGATCCCTCAAACACATGAAATGTAGTGAAAAACACAAGTACATTTTTTGACAAGCTTGTAAGATCATGATTGCTTTCAGTACTAAATTGCATTGAAGGAGGGACAATATTTTGCCATTTTGAAAATGATTAAGTAGCACTTCAACAACAAGATCTTCCCTTTTTAACAGGCCTCGTTGCAAACGGATACATCTAATTCATAAAGTTCTGCTGGGGTTTATATGGTGCTTCTGCAGCTTTCTGAGAACTGGATCTGTGAGTCTCAGAAATGAGGAACTAGTGACAAGAGACAGATATTACTGAGACTTTACAGATTTTTTTGGTGGATTTCATATCAAACAAAAGGAAAAAAAAAAACCAGTACAGCTGATAAATTTGTCTTCACCACCACCATGAATAAGCTGCAGTGAACACCCCATGGGGATTCACCTGAAGGAGGAGGCAGAATGTCAATGTCAGACTACAACAAAAATCTCATTTCCACTTTGATTTGCAGCATTTCCCAGTCGATGATCTCAAACGTTTTTGATGCTAATTGAACAAGAAAGGTCCAAGCCTATTGCCCATGCAGTGAAGTTGCTTGTTCTAATTAAAAAAAACAAAGGCAGATGCTTTCCTTGTACATTAATTTTTGAAACACCACGAGCTTCATCTCTCAAAGATGAAAACAGAAAGGGGCTGAGTATGTTTTTAAGGCTACCCAGACACAAATTGCACCACACACACCACCTACAGCAATACTCAACACAAGACCTATCCTAACCCTCACACCAGACCAGGAAATAAAGGCAGAAACAGCATTTATTTTATACACATTTCTATCTGTATTACTGCCCCTGAGGCTTTTCCTGGCCAGGTTAGCAAGTGGACTGAAGCAGCTGATTTTCCACTGCTTGAGATACAGAACAAACTGTGCCAAGACACTCGTTATCATTTCATTCTGTTTAGATCAGGTGCCACATGTGTAGCATTATTCAGTCATTAAGTATTGCCTCATTGTTGGCATTTTCTGCTCCACCTTAAAATTAGAATCAAACACTATCTAAAAGGAGTTAGAGGAGACTAAATTTTATGTCTTCAATGAAGCAGAAGTAGTTTTAAAAGTGAGATTGGAAATACATAGAGGTTATACAAACATTCTTCAGGAGTAACACAGATACTGTTTATCTCAACTTCCCGCAGCAATTAGCAACTAATCTTTGCAAGTCCTTGACTCTATAATTATCAGGTAGTTCATCTTCAAAAAACTGTGCAATATTAAGCTTTACCACATGTTAGTTGCTTGTTGTATCCCCAACGATGAGAATAAAAAATAAAGACAAAAGCACAGGAAAATCTTTGGAAAGAGATAAAGACGAAAAGAGCCAAAATAGCTGTAATAAGGTGAGCAGAACACACATACTGCAGAGGAAAATAGGAATTATCTATGTGTTTGGAATCAGAAGCAGTTTGAGGAGGAAGAGATGGGTCAGCATCAAAAGAGCCATAGTAATATAGACTCCATGGGACAAGATGTACCAAAAGTCATGGGATCAAGCAAAATCAGGGAGTGGGAAAGCTCAATCAAGTTTAGTTAAAGATGCAAGGGCAAACTTTACATGAGAAAGAGAAAGAATCTGGTCAAATACTTCATGAGTGGGAAAGGAAGAAGATACTGTTATGTAAGCTGAGGAACAGAAGAGAAAAATTTGGCAGAAAAAGTGAAAAATGACTGCTTTTAAGATTATGAGCCCAAAAGCAGCTGATGCAATGCTATTCAATCCTTTGTAGGTGCCACCTGATAAAATCCTCAGGAGCACAGCTGTATGGAGCAGTTACTTATATTGATCTGGAAAACACTGTGTGTCACAGCTTATTTGTACCATCTGCTACAGCAATGTCAGTCAGGGGGAGCAAGGGATACACCTGGGGGTGTCCACACTGAGAAATCACTTCGGTGAGGAAAGAAACTTCAGCAGGGGAAAAGAAATCTATACTAAATGAATAGCTTATGCTGTCAAAAGGAATAAAGCTTTGGAGGAAGAGCATCAGCTGGAGCAGGAGCAGCCAGCCTGAGTTTTACTGCAGGTCCTGAACCTCCCTGAGTCAGGCAGTCCCCCCATTTTCACACCTAAGTGTCTGACAGGTGCCCTGATTTTAAAGCTAACAGCAGTTTTTCAGGGTTTTCAGTAACACAAGGCTTGGTGAAAAGTACAAGGAGCATACATCCCCTAAATAAACTATCCATCCAACTGAACAAGGCCTAGCAATGGCTGAAATCAAGGACAGAGATACCCTAGGGTGCAGCTGAAGAACAAGAGCCATGTGCCTGACATGACTGTTCAGCATCACAAGAAGTGCAGATCAATATTCCTCACTTTCTGAAGAGTCTACAGTATTCTTTCAAACCCATAGGAAAAAGCTCACCCAGTTTTCAAGCTGACCAAGGCATCTTCAACTCCCTTCTGGTTGAATTTTGTCATGTAAAGGTGCATATCAGGGTAGTTGTTTCGGATATTCCTCTCTGTGCTTCCATTTGGGACCGTTCCAAAGCGAAAAGGAGGTGAATAATCATGTGGCCTTTGAAACTAGAGAGAAAGGGAAAAAAGCAAAATGTTTCAGGCATTCAAAATGTGAAAAAGGGCAATTTCAGGTTGAAAAAAGACAGTTGTCTAAACTGCTTCAGATTTCTTCTCGGTAAATGCTGAGGGTTAATTCAGGCTTATTATACCAGAAAGTGTCTTCACACTGATTGAACTTAAAGAAACATCTACATCCAAAGTAAAACCAGCTTTGTTTTGCCACTCTAATGTGGCACACTCAGGTTTCAGGCTTGGCAATCATTCAGATAATCTCACCTAAACTTTTGCCAACAACGTGAAAACTTTATATGCACCTTTTCAACATCTTCCTTTAAAAAACTCTAAGTGATACTTTAGGATTAGATTTAAATATCTCTTTAAGAAACAAATGCAAGAGGTCACTCAAATTATTGGCTAATGAGGAAATTGCATTGAGCATTGATAAAAGCAGTCACCCACAAACTCCAGGGTAAAACACACTCTGTTTTTACTGCTGCAGTGAGAAGAGCAATCTATATATCCTGTGCTGCAAGAGACAGCTAATATTTATACAGCTGCTGATTCCTTTGGGGATACATATGAAACAGTTCTCTTTTTAACATTTGGTCTCAGGGCATCAAGAATTCCCAAGATCCAGTGCCAATTTGCAAAGAGAATACAAATAGGCTTATACAAAAACTGGGAGTATTTTCAATTCCATCAAACCTTGACTGTGAAATTATTGCTGCAACACTATTTTCTTGTTACAGAACTACAATTAAATGCTTCATCTTAATTAAGCGTATTTTGACAAAGCACAGAGGAATGAACTCTATTTTTCTCTATTCGTTTAGCTAACAGATGTCTTACTTTTCTCATTTTCCCTTTTCACAGCTTTACTGTTTAAATTATTACTTTGCTACTACTTTTACACATAGTAATTGACCCATGCACTAAAATTACACTGTACACTAGTCATGGTTCTTAGTCTATATTTGTTCTCTCCTTTGTTGAGTTTATTATGCAGCTCTGAAACAAACCCTGCTTTTAACTATATGTCCAGAGATTCTACTGAGATAAATGGAACTTGCTATTAGCTTTCCTGAAATATACAGATAATGTATCCCTGAAGTACTGAGGAGGCCTCTAGTATCTCCTAATAGCTATCAAATTTACCAGTCAATAGAACTGGAAAAAAACAGAATTAAAGAAATATTGTTGTTTTCAGGATCTGTAAAAATTGCTGCTGCTCATCATGTTGACATGTGTTCAAAATTCAGCTGTGGTGAGCAGCTCAGTCCCAGTCCTGGGGTATGGCTGGAGAACTAGGGGAATGGGGAGATTAGAGTGGAGGATGCTGGTAATTTAGAAATGGAGTTTGGTTCTGAATATTCTCACTTTTCCAGAACATTGATATGAATCTAAGACGTTGGGAGGTGTTTCCTCTCATAGGAATAGTTGAGAAAATTAACATATCTGCCCAAATGAAACATTCATGGAACACAAAATTATTTCTGCAGGAGAGCAGAGATGAATCATAGAATTTAGGGGTTGGAATGGACCTTACAGATCATCCAGCCCCAACCCCTGCCCTGGGCAGGGGCATCTCCTCACTAGATCAGGTTGCTCAAGGCTCATCCAGCCTGGATTGAACACCACCAGGGTTGGGGCAGCCACAGCCTCCCTGGGCAACCTGGGCCAGGGTCTCACCACCCTCACAGGGAAAAACCTTTCCCTCACATCCAACCTAGACTTTCCCTCCTCCAGTTTGAACCCATTCCCCCTTGTCCTGTCCCTGCAGTTCCTAACACAGAGTCCCTCTCCAGTTCCTTGTAGGCCCTTCAGATATTGAAATGTTGCTCTGAGGTCTCCACACAACCTTCTCTTCTCCAGGCTGAACAGCCCCAACTCCCTCAACCTGACTTTGAAAGACAATTCTGTCCACTGCAACCTACCCTCCCTTTGTAAACTCCTCTCTCTACATGACACAGGCACAAACAGCCTCAAAATTAACAAAAGTCATGAATGTCAGCTTTGCTGGATACTTTGGACTCATTTTGTCTAACTTTTTCTGAAGGTAGAGCTTTTAAATATCTTTTACAGATACACGAATGTCAAAATATCATTTTCTTCTCCTTTTCTGAATCATTTGAGTTTATGAACACCCACCCCTGGTAACTCCAGTACATGCTGTGCCATGCCTTGCTGGGTGACACTTGGATGACATGGCAGTCACAAATTCATTAGCAACATTTCCAAGGGGTAAATGGCACATTATCATGTGTTCAGCAGAAGTGCTGAAGCAGCTGGTAGAGTGTTACAGATTTCCTGAATGGGATGATATCCAATGCTGAGGGTCAGGGCTGAGTGCTCAGAGAGGGTTTTTCTTCCTGATTTTTTTCTCTAGTCTATCACATGGGGAGATGGACTGAGAAATTCCAGTACTCTAACTGGGAATATTTCACTGCATTGACTTCAACCTTCAGATGTGGCAGTGGGAAAAATGAGAGAGGGAAAGAACAGCAAACTGATTTACCAGCCCTGAAGACTTTTCTCTTTTTAAATGCAGTGAACTTCTAGATATTACTTATTCAAACTGATTTTACCTGTATTTCTGGCCCTTCTCACTGGCCTTTGCCTGCAGCTGCTTTGCTTGCTGCAGGGGTCAGAGTTTTCCAGTGAACAACAGTAAAATCAGACAAATTCCAGAACTGTTCCCCTACTAACAGCATTGCAGCAACAAGGCAAAGGGGGGAGAAAACCAATTTAACCTCAATCAGATTATATTCCCATAAATCATCCTTAATTATTGGACTTTTTCAAATCCAAGGAACCTCAGGATTGTGGAGGAGGCAAAACTTGTGTCTGCCAAGAAGAATGTTCTGGTATAGATCATTGCTTTTCTGGACTTCTGACTTCTCTAATTCAATCAGGGAAGTCAAGGCTCCCCTGATTTATCTCTGTGTGCTGCAGGCAAAGTTTGAAGCACTGCAAACTGAAAACAAAGGTGGCAGATCAAATAAATGATCAGCAGGCCACACAAACCCAGATGGCATTTTGTGATTCAAGTAGTTTTCTATTTTAATTCTGCTTTTTTTTTTTTTGTGGAAATAAAATCCTACTTAGCAGACAGAGTAGAAAAATGACAAAACTAAGTCATTAGCCAAAAAGCTCTAGAACAAACACTGACATTTCTCAGCCCATAGGTGAGTGGCAATCAGCCAGCAAAGAGGGGAAGGTAAGAGAGCTCTGGCAGACCTGAATCCTAGTGCTGTGCCAGGTGCCAGCCAAATCCTGCCAAAACTAAGACTGCCCAGGAAAACGCTGTGTACTGTCACAAACAGGAGCAAAACATTTCTCAAATCTACTTTTTTCTTTATCCTCAAGAGAGAATACCTTTTATCTGTCTCAGAGTATTATCTTAAAATAGAGGTTTATTTAACAATCTTCATGCTCTTTCAAAGGTTTTGTGACAACACAACTTTAGGAAAACAAAACTATTATTATCATTTTTTGTTTCTTTTTATCTGTCTTTCCTCTAGCCATGCTTGTAATTCAGGCTTTGATATTTCAGGCAGTCAATCAAAGGCTGGTCATAAAAAGCAGTTAAAACAAAAAAACAGACGTAAGGCTATCTGAGCTGTTGCCTTTTTTTTTTGCTTTTTGAGTTACAATCTCCTTGATTTTCTGTCCTTTGAGAAAAATCCCTTGTGAAGTTGTCCCCTGGGCTAGAAAGTATTTAAATATTCCTTCTTAATGTCAATATTTAGATTCATTTTAGAACAACTGGGCACAGACTTGAAACCAGCAAACCCTTCACGTTTATTGTGCATATCCATCACCACAATCATTTGGTGAATGGACTTCAATCCCTCCATGCACTATCACTATTACATAACAGCCACATCATTCAAACATCCACAGACAATAGGCACAATTTTTTTGCCCTTTCTCTTTGCTTATTTGTGCTGGTGCCACTTTAAATCTGAACTATTTCTAGTTTCCTTGCACACTACGTAGAAAGCAAAAAGATGGTTTTTCAGGAGCGTTAACTGGTTTCTGAGAATTACTGGAGAGTTTCTGGGTTTATTAATATTTTGTCTATTAATATATTACTAACATTCCACACAGCTTTTGAAGCTTTTTTACATTGCTACAGCATTCCCTTTAATCAAACAATAACTGATTTCCATCACAAAATAAAGGCACTTTTCAACAGATGCCATTGCTTTTGAATAGGCAAAGCATAGACTTTTAAAACAGTCTGATATTTTCATGCTTTGAGTCTTAGGTTTATTAGTAAAGGGTTGTCCTCAGAATGAAATCACCCAGGTTTAGTTTATGACCTTGCTCAGAGTTTTTTAGCACAAAGTACCCATTGGTAGAAGGATTATGAAGAATGGACATTGACCTCTTTTGAGCTGAAGACTTACCTTTTTATCACTCAGTCCAGTCACTTGGTCAACAAATTCCTCTTGAATCATAAAGGCAGCTAAGTTGGCAGTATAACTGGCCAGGAAAATGACAGCAAAGAAAGCCCAAACCGAGACCATGATTTTACTTGTCGTCCCTTTGGGGTTTTGCACAGGCACAGAGTTGTTGAAGACCAGACCCCACAGTAACCACACTGCCTTCCCAATGGTGAAGGATGGCCCGTGGGGATCTGTAATTGCAAAGAGGAATTAGTTCAGCTGCAGTTAAACCTTGTCAATAAATATACCCTGGATAAACGACAGATTAATCTCAGAGACATGGGTGAAAAAATCGTTCAGTGCATATTCACTACTCCCAGTGGAATCACAGGGTTTACCATAGATCCTCTCCAATGTAATGACATTAATTTCTGTGTTTGTCAAAAGTATTTGAACATCTTTCTATGTGCCATGTAGCTCAAAAGGTTTTAAAATGAAAATGGAAAGGGTAAGTTTGCAGGGGAAGCAAACTGGTATGTCTTGCAGCAAGGTATGTGCCACTCTTGCCCCTGTCAGCCTTCTGTGCCAGCAGACATGAAATGGAAAACTGGAGGTTTAAAGCCTTAATGATTCAATTCCTCTCCTTTTCTTCCCAAATTATTTTTATCACCTCCACTCTTCCAGCGTTATGCTTTCGGAACATTATGTAAGCATCTTTAAGATCAAAGTGTGTGAATATGTCACTTACTTTTAAGCACCTTTGTACTCAGAGCATAAATCAGGAAGGCAGCACAAAGGAGCTACCTGTAGAGACATGTCATTTAGAGCAAACCAGGCTTTGGCTGCTTCACATGTTCCCAATCAGTTCTGTGGCTCCCAATGTGTTGGCATGACAGAGACAATCCTGGCCCAGCTAATAAATTTGGTAACTTTGCTCTTCTGTTTTCAGTCACCCTTTAATTCAGCCCAAAGTGGTCAGCACACTGCCTCAAGGCTCACACTGGATTAGCAATGCCACTATCCACTCCAAAGGCCTAACTTGGAGAGCCCTTGGAGAACTAAGGGCAGTTTATTCTCTCTCAGCTGTAGGTAAGTACAGTGCAGTAATCACATATTGCTCATCATCTAGAGTCCCTTTACTCTCAAAGGAGACAAACAGAGCTCCCCTGGCTGTGACTCACTTGACCTATTTATAGTTATCTTTTTTCCAATTAAATTGCAATTCAGGCAGTGAGCTCTGCTGCAGACACTGTAACATTCCCTCCTTCCTTGCCCTGTCCCTTTATCCAAGGGGATGCACATTAAAAACTCAGATTTAGCTGTTAATTGAACTATAATTTGGAATCAAACCAGTGTATGTTCTCATTTCAGTAGAATTGCTAACCAATCTAATGCAAATATTTCATAACCCAATTAAATATCACATCTTAGGTTACCCTTCTATTCTGCAGCAGCACTAGGAAGGTAGAGTGCAATGCCAGAAAGGCAATGGAGCTCACTTATGGTTTAGGAAACTACCTTCTAGACATGTTTAGGACTGAGATGATATAAAGATAATAAGTATTTTTCTGAGAAAAAAAGGTTAGGGAAAGTATATGCCAAGGAAACAGTCCAAAGCTTTGTTTGTGCCACAAGATTGTATTACAATTGAGCTTCATCCTGCCAAAAATGCCTAGGGAAAGGAGGTGTCTACATAAAGATACTCCTTTATTTTAAGCTTCCCATGTTTGAAATTAATGGCAGGTAGATTCATAGCGAGTCTCTAGAGCTGAGTTAGGATCTTTGTCACTCTAAGTGCACTAAATAATCAGTTCTGGCACGTGAGACAGTACAGAAAAGAATAGCCAAGCCCTTGTTGTCCCCAGTGTCTCTGTTCACCTTTGCTTTCCCCTTTGTTAAGACAATGTTTATTTTGGACAGAGGGTACACATTTACCATCTGACTAAAATGGTAATATCATCTGAACATTGCAATAATCCCCTTTTCCAGGGACCAAGCCAGCCATAACCTAGAAGAAACCATTATCTTTTAATAGTGCCCAGAACTGTGTTCACTAAGCTGGAAGATATCTTGTTATAAAATAAGGCAAGTATGATTTAGAAATTTTTAAAAAAGGCTTCACTCTCAAATGGAAGGTAAGAAATGGAAGGATGAGGGCACTGCAAGACACAAACTCCTCATTCTCAGGTCAGAGTGCTCATAATATAGAACTGCAGCTGTCCCTGAGAAAGGTAAGTTCTGTATTAAATCTGCAGTGCTGGGATATTGTGAAAATTAAGTTTCTATAACCATGGATGCCACACAGAAAGGACTGATGTCCTTCTGCCCCTGGCCTCATTTCAAGGCTGAGTTCATCTGACTTTTTGCAGGGACTATATAAATCTATGTACAAAATAACTGCTATTTTTCCAAATTATCCACAGAAGTTTAGAGAACTTTCTCCAAACTGACCATGAATTCCTATGAGTCAGGAGTAGAATCAATTCCAATGTTTTTTTAAGCTCACAGTTCACAGCTGATCCAGTGCACTAACCAAACTGCCTGAACACAACTCTCACATCCCTTACTCTTCTCTATGACTTTATGCCAATGAACTGGAATACAAACATGAGCATAGATGCCCACAAAAAAATCACACTTTAAATGAAGAACACACTTGGTTTCATAGCTACTTTCACTGTTTCATTCCTATGTTATGTTTATTTGAAAAGATAGAGGGCAAGGGATGGGAAACACATCATTTTTTTACAGCCACAGGGTTGTGTAAAATGTAAATCTTACCTCTCCCTTGTGCTAAGTTCCTGTTATATCCTACAGGACTAAAGTATTCAAATATAAAGACAGCCATGGCAGACACGATGAGAAGCATCACAAACATCATCACCCAGACAGAAGCACTAAAAGGCTCTGCAGCAAAACAGACAAGAGAAACAGAAACACAGCTCATTAAACCAGTTGCAGCACAAGAATTCTAATGTCTTCGCCTAGGCAAGCCCAGCAGCTTCCTCTAAATTAGCTTTTTCCTACCACAATGCTAAGAAAGAACTAAGTAGCAATACATAATGAACTGCTGTTAGTATATATACACAAAACCAAGAAGTCAAAATCTGCAGTGGAAGTTGCAATTCAGAAGCAAAGGCTGCACACTTTGCTTTGACACTGAGGGGCACATCATTGGTTTGCCTTGCTGCTTTTTCAGCCTGTAATCAGGTTGCCCATTTCTATTCATCCTGTGTGATGCACATCGTGCAGAGGAATGGTCCGACCGCTGTGCCTGTGTTTCTGCAGAGCAAAAGCAATTAAGCATATGTTTAATACATTTGGTAATTCACTGAAGGAGACTTCTCTCTCATTTCCTAGCCAACTAAAAGCATTAGAGGAAATAAGATAAATACTTGCATATGAAAAGGTTTTTTTGCTTCAGGATTTTTTTTTTCTTTCTCTGCTCACTTTCATCCACCTGCAATGAAGATGATGTTTTTATCAACTGCAAATAGATCCTCTTGGATGTCTCATTCTCATCTGGGAGCAAATTACTGAAATCAAAAGGGTTTTGTGGAAAACTGAATGTCAGTTTGAAAGACAGAAAAACCATAATTAAGTAAAAGTAATAGGTTGGAGCATAAAACTAAAAGCAGTTTCAAATACCAGACTATGCAGCTTTTTTTTTTTAAATGACTGGATATTGAAATTGTATGTGATAATACAAAGTTCTCAAATATCACCTTTCCCAATCACAAATTTTCTGTCGTTTCACGAGTCACTGTGGCAGCTGCCATGGTGTAAGGATATATGTAAGAAAGGATTTGCATGGCAAAGTAATATTTCTGTATCAGGTGAACTTATTTGGAGGTACTTTATCTCATAATTTGGGTAAAAAATGCAAGTGTGAGTGTGCTCTGAAGTGTGTGAAAAAAATCTTAGTACACAATTTCTAATTAGGACAGAATCAAGACACACTTGAAATGACAAGAAATCAGTGTGTCCCACTGCTTTGCCTGTTTTTGCAAGGCCAAGATGTTCCTCCCTCCTAACTCCTTCACTCTTTGAAGTTAAATGAAGATTAGAACCACTGAAACTTCTTCCATGACTGCAGGGAAGAACTGTGACCAAGAGCTGAGGTGTGCTAAGCCCAACAGCCCAATGTGAACTTGTCTGAGTTAGCACAACTGGTTCACCCAGAACCAGAATGAAATGCAATCATAGAATCATCCAGGTTGGAAAAGACCTCCAAGACCATCAAGTCCAACCCTACCATGGTTACTAAACCATGGCACTAAGTGCCACATCCAGTCACATCCTAAAAACCTCCAGGGATGGTGAATCCACCAGATGGGAGCTAAAGAGACAGGACAGCAAATTTTTAAACCAAACTGCCCTTCTGTTTTTGAGGTAAAGTTAGGGAACAGCATTTTTTTTTAGTTAATTATTTTACTTTTAAGACAAGATATGAAGTTCCCTCAGTTGCTCTATTTATTTGTTTGGGAGAGAATAGTAAGTTAGGAAAATAACAGAATTTGTAAGAGGTAGGAAAAAAATCTCTTTAGATGCAAACAGAGAAAGCATATTATGTAGCCAAATACAATGTCACAAATACTCTCTGAATTCAGATATTAACTGGATTAAGTAGAAATTCACATGGAAGTACCACACCATTTTGACAGCATTCTCCTAGAAGAAAGCAAGTCTGATAAAACCCTTCTCAAAAGCAACAGTGCAGGAACAGCAATGGTAATTTGTCAAAATCTACATAAGGCAAAGGGCAGAGCAAGACAATGTGCAAAACTGAGCTATAAACAGCAGTTTAAGCAGAATGCTCTTTAATAATTTAAGAAGCCTGGTAATGAGGTAGAGGATTAAAAGAAGCAACAGGAAAACAAAAAGCTGTTTAGAATAGCAGCAGTTAGATTGAACAAGCACAAAATCAATTGAATAACAAAGTCAATCTCGCTGTCATATCAGAGATCCAATTCCACATTCAGTGCTGCTCTTTGATTCTCAAAGGACAGAGAGAGAACTTCCCTCAGGCAAGCAGCAGGTTTTGAAAGAATTTTCAGTAAAGCTATGATATGGCAGAAAAATACTAATATATGACTTGCCAGTGTAGATTTCAACTGACTGACAATGGAGAATACCAAGCTAGGAAAAATATGTCTGTTGAGTTTTACCTCCCACCACCAAAACCAATACCTAAAGCACACACAAAATAAATAGGGGCATAGATTTTCTATTCCACCAATGCCTCCAGAAAATTCAGTAAAGCTATGATATGGCAGAAAAATACTAATATATGACTTGCCAGTGTAGATTTCAACTGACTGACAATGGAGAATACCAAGCTAGGAAAAATATGTCTGTTGAGTTTTACCTCCCACCACCAAAACCAATACCTAAAGCACACACAAAATAAATAGGGGCATAGATTTTCTATTCCACCAATGCCTCCAGAAAACAAAACCCACCATTGAATTTTTCCCCCTGAAAAATACAGAAATTTGGATTTGAGGTTTCTCATATTTGTTTGTCTAAATAAAGTTGAATCAAAACTCCAGGGAAAATAATCATTTGCAGGCCCAAGATATATGAATTTTAGTACAATATGAAAGTGATTTAATGTGGATAAAATTCTCGTTTGGAGGAGACACATCAGAATCAGAACAGAGCAGATAACGAGGAAGAGGCTGTCACAGCCCATCAGCTGCTCAGATCTGTGGGACACAATTGGATGGAAAATCTAGTCACACAAAATCCTGTACTCATCTGCATTCATGGAAACAGTTCACAAACCCAGATATTTCATGACCTGTAATCAAGTGTTATTGTTAAAAAAATAAAATTGTGTTTGACAGATTTTCGACAAATCTTTTAAAGGAATTATGTAAGATGACTATTCTTAGGCATTCACTTAATTGAAACGAGATCAGTCCGTGAATAAATTCAGTTATCTGCCTGATAGTATTTTGCAAGGCAAAACATGTTACTACTACGCACACCTCGCTGAAACACACGATCAATTCAGGCAAAGTGGCAACTTCCTCTGTGTCTGCAAAACCAGAACACACATCTGAGATCAGCCTTGATTGATTGGTGCAGTCAATCAGAGTTCCTCAAAAGACGTCGTATTCTATAGAGCACCATAAGGAGGACTCGTTTCTGCTTTTTGAGTTATGTGCATGTAGCACAGTTATAGGTATGTTAACAGTGGATGAGGAGCTCAGCATGAGCTGCAGGGTGAGCTCAGCCCAGAGAGCCAATGGAATCCTGGGCTGCATCCACAGCAGTGTGGGCAGCAGGGCAAAAGAAGTGATTCTTCCCCTCTGCTCTGCTCTCCTGAGACCCACCTGGAACACTGCACACAGTTCTGGTGTCCTCAATGTAAGAAGGACATGGAACTGTTGGAGCAAGTCCAGAGGAGGCCACGAAGTTGCTAAGAGCACTGGAGCATCTCCCCTATGGGGACAGGCTGAGGGAGTTGGGGCTGTTCAGCCTGGAGAAGAGAAGGTTGTGTGGAGACCCCAGAGTAACTTCTCAATATCTGAAGGGGCTACAAGGAGCTGGAGAGAGACTCTGTGTTAGGAACTGCAGTGATAAAACAAGGAGGAATGGGTTCAAACTGAACGAGAGGAAGTTTTAGTTAGATATTAGAAAATGTTTTTCCCTGTGAGGGTGGTGAGACACTGGCCCAGGTTGCCCAGGGAGGCTGTGGCTGCCCCAACCCTGGTGGTGTTCAATTCAGGCTGGATGAGCCTTGAGCAACCTGCTCTAGTGAGGAGGTGTCCCTGCCCAGGGCAGGGGGTTGGGATGATCTGTAAGGTCCATTCCAACCCTTAAATCCTATGATTCTATGTCCAACTAAACCAATAACACTAAGCACATTTTAGAAACCTGATAACTATGTAGCTGTGAAAATGCAAGAGCAGCCTCTCCTTTGATGGGGGCTGTAAGCAGGTTTTTAAGAGGTAAGTAAAAAGAAAAGAAATCAACTGCACTTGCAGCACATTTAGAAAACAGCCCAATGCTTATATTTCAAATCATAATTTTAACATGCTGCAATTGCATTTTAAAAAATGAGCAACTCATTTACAACTCAATGACACATCGAAATGAAAAGATACTCTCTGACTCTTTTGATTACAAGTACAGTCTCTTCCAATTTCATGTAAAAGTCTTTCATTCATATCACACATCATCAAAACCTGCTTAGGTATAACCACATTTGGGAAGTTATTTGATTACTCACTCTATTTTATTTACTTGCATCATCTCTGTAATGTGTCTTTATAGAACAGATATGAGAAATAAACTCCGTGGTTAAATGATGATTCTTGCACAGTCCCAATTTTTTGCCCCTCTGGTGTAGTTCAATCTATACCAACAATCTGCTCCTCGATGGCTATAAGCAACTTTGGTGAAAGCAAAGAGCTTTCACCTGGCAGTCTAGAAATGGCCTCACTGCTGACCCAACGGTCTTGAACACGCTAAACTGTTCCATAAGATACCTTGACAGAAACACACCAGTGCACCATATACCTAAACGAACAATTAAACCTACCAAACTTCACAGAACTGCAATTGAATGATCTGGATGGGCTGGAGAACCATACCTAGAAAAGCAGATGGTGAGACTGTGCCGTTGCTCCGTGACACCATGACACTGATCCCAGTCTCAACAAATGGCACTGAGAAGTCAACCACTTCGGAGCGCTCTTCGTTGATGGTGAGAGATCCCACGGCCATCACCGCTCGATGGTACACCACCTGGGCCACAGAGACAACACAGCACCAGCATTACTCAGTAGAGCATACCTCATTCCTCCAGAAGAATTCAACCCAAACATTGCTAAGTTCTTACTTAAGAGCTCTTTTACCTAACAGAACTTACTTCACCAATCATTCCATTCCACACATTATTGACTTTTTTGCCATGTTTCCCATTCGTCACCAGGTACAGGTCATATGTGAATTTGACAGTTTTCGACAACTTCTTCAAGATATCGATGCAGAATCCTTTGCAGCACTTCTTCACGTTGGTTCCCTCGTTAGTTTTGTTGCTGTCAACAGAGAAGAGACACATAAATATTCCTACTGGGAAAAAACAGAACCACCACATGAGCAAGCTGTGAGACAACATTTTGCCATAGTTGTCAGTGACCACATTTTTCTGAATCGATGAGGAAATAATTCACAGGATGCTTTATAGAGAGATGGTGTTTGCAGCACTAATTAATCATAACGTAGTTGCTTGATGAGACCTGGACAGAGGACAGTGGTTACCTTGTATGACATGTTTCCTGCTGCAGGATCCAGCCTAACACACTGCACTTCCACATCAAGACATGCAGCCTCCTCTGACTAATCTCTCTCTTAGGATTAGATTAAACATTTATTACTTTGACTCTCCAGACATCAGACTACATGTCATTTAGTAATTAAAGAACATGTAAGCTATAAAAAGGCACAGCAGTTCTCCGTACTGGAAATGGATGCATCTTCTCAAAGTGCACCTTTTCCTGCACTTTGAGAGGGTGAATTTCAGGCCACCTCGGAGTGCAATGACTCAGACTTTCCTTCTACCATTTTTTTTCTGAAATGTTCATTTTGTGGCCTCTACGAACTTTTTAGTATAAGCATCTTTAGAAGCCAAGGCAATATTTTACAGCCTTTGAAAGAATTCAAAATTAAATTAAAACTAGTTCAGAACCTACGTACAGTTATGCAAAAATAATTTAAAAAAAAAGAATATTACTCTGGACTTCTGGAAATGTGCACAATCATTTAGCGGTCTCTGGAAAATCTGCAGAAACTTGCAACATATTCCCTATCATCTGCTCAATAAAAATTCTGTTGTTACTACATTCAGTTCATAAGAACACAGACCAAAGCACAGAATGGGTGAAACACCAATGATAAATGTGCAATCAAAACTTTTCCACTCATTTCTAATGACTGCTCTGAAGTTACAGAGCAACCAAAGCAGGAGACTTTGCTCCTGATGGTAAGACACAGTGCTGTTTTATGCTGGAGTAGTTTATCCTATACCTGATTTCAACATAAACATACATTTTCATTAGGAGACATTCTCAAATTGTTAAAGACTAATGAAAACAGGCAGATCTCAACATAACTGGAAACAATTCAACGAGGACTCATTAAAACAGTCCCATTTTATAACCCAATCTACTTCCATGTGACTGAAAAAGGCTAATTCTCACTGACTTTGAATTTACTATAAACTTACTATCTTGTCATTAATTCAATGTGACTTCCATGTGCATAACCAGAACCTCTCAGCTTTTTAAAAAGGAAGATGTGCAAACAAGAGCATACCATGTGGGGAAGAGAAAAAGAAAGAGGACATGAAATACCAAAGGAATAGCAAAGAGAGGAGGCAAGAGAAAAAGAACAGCAAAGAATCAGAACCCAATTATCCAATGAAAGGAGGAAAGAAAAGAATGAGAAAATAGGAGAATAGATTTTGCACTCAAGGGATAAAAAAAGGAATGTTGTGTATTTACTCACTTCAGTTTGACAAATTTCCGGCACGGCACGGTGTTTTTTTGGCAACTTTCCATCAAAGGATCCACATCCTCCACAATGACAAATGGAGCCTCCTCCAGGGTGACAATGCTCAGGTGGTTGTCGTCTGGGTCACTGTCTGCGAAAGAGCTGAACCTTGGCCACACAGAGTACTTGAGGCTCAGGGAGTTGTTCTCCCATTTCCCCACCTGAAACATCAAGATTCACAGGCTGCTGAGAGCTGCTCGCTGGGGTTTGACAAATGGGATCTAATGTTCAAAGTGCTGAGATTCAGGTACAGCAAATTACATTTCCAGGACAGTTGTTTTGGGGGTTTGCTATCAAAATCACTTTAGAATTTTTAGTCATTGCATGAAGTAAGAAAATGGAATAAAGACAAATAAGGTAAGATTATTTTAATAGGTAACTGTTCTATAAAGACTCAATGTCATCAGTGAACACTATTTATGACCTGGCTATAGGTGCACTAAAATTTGACATGCAGCATTTCCATTTGAGCCAGAACAACAACCAAGAGTCTGTATTTGTAATCACGACCATTTGAAGTAGTAAGAAAAAAACCTCTCAACAGAACAGAAAATGCCAAAAACCTAATCCACACACACATACCCAAAGCATTGGAATGTCATTTCTGTATCTTCCCAAGAAAAAAGACTCTTCTATTCTTATGGTTTGAAAAGCCATTGTGGAAGCCTTTGCCCCAGGGTTCCATCACACCTGAGCCAGGCCAAGCCACATTTTTAATGAGAAGTTTTATTAGATACAGTTCTCATTAGAAACAACGTTTTACTCCGCTTCAGCCAATGCCAACTGTTGGAGAGTTCAAGAAATCCATTCACATTAAAATTGCCTGTTTATTTGCTATTCAGAATTATCCCTTCTAAACTAACCTACATTGCCAGATCACCAGAAGGAGTTACACAATTCAAATATTTTTACAAGTCTAGAATTATTTTTTTCAGATTGTGTTTAACTACTTTGTATCCATACATCTAATTGCATGTTTTATGAGATGACAGATAATATAAACAAGCTAGCAATCCACATAATTTATAGCCTAATGCATTTTAACAAGTCTTGAGTTGCTTAAACTAAACAAATGACAATACAATCATGAGACTGTTAAAATATTTCTTTTGCAAGGAAAATGGTGGGAATTAACAGTACAGTGAGAGACTCAGGTCCTTAAAAAAGAAATAAAAAATGCAAAACAAATTGTCATTACTTTCTGTCTTCTAAAGAATTGAAAACAAATCAGAAAAATTCCTGAAGAACATGATTTATATCCATTCCTATTTAGGGAAATGTATAAGCATGACCTTTGCAGATTCCTTTCCATCCTGTTGATAAGTCAAGATGTTTGGCTGAACTTTAATGAGGGAGGCAGAAATGCCAAATCTCTACACACTTCAATTAGGAATTCTCACTTAAATCCATGGGAAATGTATCTATGATTACTGTAGATGTACAGGTCAAGTATGAAATTAAATCAAAACACAAAGGATGAAGCCTTTGTGGGAAAAACTGTTTCAGACACAGGGAAACAAATGCATTGTTTCTGTTTAACTCTGCACGACGCAGTCCTAACGCAGGAACAATTTAATGCCCAAGTTAGGGCACACAATGGCACTCCCAGCAGCCTGTGCTGCTTTACATGAGCTTACACAGAGTCACTCCTAGCCCTAAGTATGCCATGAAACTGGCCATCTGGAATGGGGAGAGTTCTAGCCAGCACAGTGCTTCAGTCAAACAGCAAACGTGCCAAGGAATACGATGAATTCCAGAAGCGGAAAATGTGCCCAACCGTCTGCCTAGTCCAACCATCACCGAGAAATGAAACATTTGTGTTTGTGTGGTCAGGACAATAGCAGGGGCAGCACCTGCCTTGCTAAATCACTCCATGAGGAGAAACATCTGCCTGAGCCACAAACACATCCCCTGCATCGCTGTATTCCCAACAGGAACACGAGCTGCTCCCCACAACGAGGCCACTGATCCTATCAAAAACATAACAGCTGCTCTGGTGCTGTTAAAAGAAGAACCGTGGTACAGATATTCTTCCTGCAACATTCTCTAATTTTAATGAGAAATTATTTGAAGATTAGAACACACGAATTTGAAGGGGAAGATACAAGCCTCCAATACAGAAGAGCAATGAACATTCGCTCGGCATACTCTTTGCAGAGTATGAAACAATCTTCCTGGCCAGTATATCAAAGACTAACAGATTCATGAAAGTAAAACTGTGGTAAACTCCTCCATAGGCTAGAAGCCCATTGCCTCTACTGTGGGAATGACATACAAAAATTCTAATTCATGGCCAAAGGAGTGGGATGTTCATAAAAACTACAGTTTCACTAGTGAATCAAACCCTTGGCTCACTACTGTAGTTGCAAAACTCAGCTCCAAGCACAGACGTGCAACGGTGCATATACCATTGTATTTCTTTGTAACTTGTACATTCTTTCCTATTTTCTTCCTCTTCACATGCAGTCTGAAATATTCCCTTTTGTTTAACCTCTACAGGGCACAGGAAGGAAAGCAGTAAATAGCTGAGAGAGCAGCAGAGCTTTGTTTGAAGCCAATCACAGGGTCCTCATCTCATCCACAGCTGCCTAAATCACCTTACATCTGACCTTATGGCATATGTACTTTGGCCACCTCCTCCATGCCTATTCAGGTTTTGGAGACTGAAGCCAAGGAGGGTGATAGTGAAGAGTTTGGCATGTTTCTGTGTAACATCTAGACAAACACAGCTAGCCAAAGACAGACAGACAACTGTTGTACCTCACAGAAATGTCCTCTCCCTAAAGCAGTGTCTAAACAACGTAATGATGATTGACACAATCCTCTCCGGCCACCTCCTCCATGCCTATTCAGGTTTTGGAGACTGAAGCCAAGGAGGGTGATAGTGAAGAGTTTGGCATGTTTCTGTGTAACATCTAGACAAACACAGCTAGCCAAAGACAGACAGACAACTGTTGTACCTCACAGAAATGTCCTCTCCCTAAAGCAGTGTCTAAACAACGTAATGATGATTGACACAATCCTCTCCACACACCCTCACCCATCAAGCCTAAGAGCAAGTCCAGATCCTTAGCAGAGCTTCCTTGGGTGCCAATGTTGGCACGAAAAGAGAGTCTGTCACACCGGCATATCTCACCAAAAACAAACAAATAACTCGGTCCTGTCACCCTCCTCCCAGCAGATGGGAACTGTGTGCAATACACAGTCATCAAAGCTTTGTAAGAAAAAATGTTACATGACAATGTGGATACTAAATGCACTCCCAGGACCAGCCAGCCAAACCTTAGAAAAGAGAAGGATCTTGTGGGATGTTCCTTTTACATTGAACACACAGATGTATTGCCGACACACTTTTTCAGCTGTCCCAGTTAGGAGAATAGTGCTGAGCAAATGCAAAATCTAATTCATCTTGCTTTATAGGAAAACTATCTACTACTTTTATTTCATCACACTTTTCCACTTACAAGGAAGAGCTGCTCCAGCAAGTTTTAAGTCGATAACTAGTAAGTATAAATGGTGCTTGTCACATTAGCAGTAACAGCTGCAGAACAAAGCACAAGAGCAAACCCTTTTCTCCTGCTCTACACCTTCTGCTGCAAACCTTTGTGTCACCTCACGTTTCTGGAGGTCTACATTTCACAGGGGCACTCTAAATTTCAACGACAAAATATGACGCGAGCAGTTTCATGTCTTATTAATAAGAAGTGTTTTACAGTCCTGTGTGGTTTGAGCACATCCATTTAAAAAAGCCTTTGAAGTTTCCAAAATTTGCTGCAAAAATCTCATATGGGGTATGGAAATGTCCCACTCTACCCTCAGGGCTGCTCCTGATGAGTCCTGTGACCAGCTGGGCTCAAAGGAAAACACAGGACCCAAAGAGATCATAAACAAACAGGAGAAAGAAAAGCTACAACCTCCTGAAGCCTCGTTTTTCAACACAGAATTATTAATTAGCACTCACCAAATCCTCAGTGCTGGGTATAGTTTTGGTTCTGGGAAATGCTCCAGATAACTCTATATAGTACAAGAGTTCAAACTCATGCCAAAGAAGCCATTACATGAGTTGATTATGTCATTAAAAAAGAGCGAAACAAATTGACAGTTTTTCCTTCACCCTCCCATGAAGGAAGATTTCTTGTCACCTGTGCACTCAGTGAAGATCTTACAACTCTCCAGAAATTTCCACACAGCTGTACCTTTACCTGCAGAGAGGAAGAGCTGCCCTGAAAATCTTCCTGTTCTTTCATCTCCTCTCTAACATTGAACAGGAGCAAAGCACACCAGCTCTGCTTCCCATGGGAGCTGCAATTCCTTTAGAGCAGCCAAGAGGTGGGAACTCTCCCCCTTGGGAATACCTGCTTTAAGAAATGCTGCGTAATAATTGGTGCAATTCAAACAATTCAGCTCAGTAAAGGTCAAAGGAAAAGGCCTTTAGGCTAAGCAAAACTCATTGATACAGAAAAAATATGCAATTTTCAGCTGGCAGTAAATGTCAGAATAGGCATATTTACAGGAAGACTAAATACATGAAGCAACAAGGATGGAACAGAGGAAATGACAACCCACCAGATGTTAAAGAGCACACTGCTGCTTCTGCTGTGGGCAAAGGGAATGTGTCACATTATGCCACAGAGCTGCTGACAGAAGATACATCAGCAAATACATCACTAGCTCACGCAATTCCACCTGTTCTACTTAAAATATAGGATTTCTTCTTAACTTTTGGGGAATGTCTATCATGAGACATCAGGATCCTTCAGCTGCCACAACTCGTATCAATTGAGATATCACAAGAAACTACCCTGTACCATCTCAGGGAGTTTTATCATCACTGTACTCTGACAAAAAGCTCTGACAGAATCTGCCTGAGTGTTAGGTTTCTCAGTCCTTGCCCAGTGAAGTCAGCTCTGCCATTAGAAATGGAGCTGTCTGTTCTCAGCTACGTGATGGTGGATGTTAGTAGCCAGATGGAGCTCTCTGGGAAGACCTTGGTTCATTTATTCCAGGCAGGAATCATGCACCCTCTGCCCACTCATTCCTACTCAGATACAAATGTGTACAACCTCACACAGAGCCCAGAAATCTGGCATATGCTAGTTAATCAGAGTAAAATCAAGCTCTGCGTTAAATCCTGCGTTAATAGAAAGTTACAGATGACAGGTAACGTTGAGCATAAACCTGGATGTACCCAACAGTTCTTGCAGGGGTGTTTAACTAGCACTTGTGCCCTGTAGCACACAAATTCACCAGAATACAGAGGACCATGGTCATTTTCTCTGTATCTACCTGGGAGCACCAGTAAAAATTGGGTTTAGCCTGGAACTCATCTTTACCCATGGAACACACTCATCTTTAAATGTTATAGAGTCCTCCCCACCTTGCTTAAAACGTTGGGTACAAACTGAAGGAGGGAAAGTCTAGCTTGGATGTGAAGAAAATGTTTTTTCCTGTGAGGGTGGTGAGACACTGGTACAGGTTGCCCAGGGAGGCTGTGGCTGCCCCAACCCTGGTGGTGTTCAATCCAGGCTGGATGAGCCTTGAGCAACCTGATCTAGTGAGGAGGTGTCCCTGCCCAGGGCAGGGGTTGGGGCTGGATGATCTGTAAGGTCCATTCCAACCCCTAAATTCTATGATTCTATGTGATAAGCCCTGCTAATTAAATAGTCTACTTTTACCCCTGCTAATTATATTCTAGTATGTTATTTTAATATTGGATTGGTTGGTTTTATTTCTACATTTAAAAAAGGCAGAGCAGTAGACTGTGAAGTTGACAACTTGGCAAAGTTAATGGGCCAGGTGAGACAGTCAGGTCACACCTCACTGAGGGAAGCTTAACGTGGGAGCTGCAGCTGAGTCTGCTGGACCTCTGAGGATTTTTTTTTTTTAGTACTAGCACAGTGGTATTTGGGCAACACCGTTAACTCTGGCAAATTTATCGAGTTTCACTGAAACAAGCACATTAAGCTTGTCTGCTTAAAAATCTCCTGCCTGAGAACAGCATCCCCTTTGCCTGTCAAGATTAGCAGCAAGAATATGAATGTTGGTGTCAGAAGTTTGAGTAGCTGCTTTAGGATCTGTCAAAATATCTTGCTGGATGCCTGAGAAACATGTCCAAAAAGTGATTTTCAGTCTTCAAACTATTATCATCCAACAAGATTTTTTCCACATCTGATATGGGACAAATTCCTCAGTCAACCTCATTTACATGTGAAGTTACCACCTCAAAGTTTCAATACTGAGTCACTTGTAAAGGCAAAGGAACTTATTTTTTGAGGGGTAAGATGTCTGCTCTCCAACTATGGTATGGATTTTCTATAACCTCCAGCTTTGAGTCAGATATTTCAATTTTGAGACCAAGGAAAAATTGTGCTTGAGTAAAAGCAGATTAAAAAGCAAACTAAAATTGAGTCTTCATAATAAATCCTGGATTTTCAGGAGAGTACCAGGTAATAAAATCTTCACAATTACACTTTCCACATAAATAATGAAGCAGCTACTCACGATTTCTGTGTACATTAGTTACATTACAAAGACTAACATTCTGCTGTATTGTCAGTTTCTCAAATGAGTCAAACATTTCATTAGATTCTAGGACTTGATGTTTTCCATATAGGATTGAGGATATTTCATAAGACTTCAATAAAACAATTCTGTGACACTCACTGCCATGGTGTAATAGGAAGGAAAAACATCTGCCTGCCTGGAAATGCAGAGCAGAAAATGTTAGATCCCAGATGAGTAACTTTGACAGTTTTAAAATTGAGCAAAACAGTGCAAGGAGAAAGGAACGAGAATAAAGAAATTGACTAGGAGATATCTGCAACTTGGAGAGTACATTGAGATAAGACTAGAGATGTTCATATAAACCAGGGGATAGGCAAGAGCCTCCTCAAGCCTCTGAGACAAGGAACTGAAGCACACAGTGATGCTCTGCTGATAAAGATGTGGGGTGTCCTGAGATAGCTGAGAGCTATGTCCAGATTGCCAGGATAATTGATTAGTCAGTTTATTTGTCTTCATCCACAGAGGCAGGGATCAGCTTGTGGTCAGAAGAATAATTCTGGTGGTGACAGCCTGTTCTTGGCTGCCTCTCACTTCTCCCCTCTGACACAATTAGACCTGGCCCCCTTCCCACGTCCTGTGAGGAGCAGCAGCCAGAGAGCTGCAGCAAGGGGCAGGTTGTCTCTCCCACACACACCTCACCTGCTCTGCTACCAACAGGGCTCCAAGGCAAGGAGCAGAGAGCAGCAGATCCAGCAATTTTTTTTTTTGGGCAGGAGACTCCCTTCAGTCACTTTTTTTTTTCCTCAGATGGAAAACTGTGCACAGACAAATGTAAGGATCAGCCTCCAGAGCATCTTAGTGGTGGAGTGTGCACTGCTGCTGGACAACATGCACAGGTAGACACACCAAGACCTGCCCCAAATCAGCATTCTCTCGTCACTTGAAGGTTAAAACAGGCTCAAGCTATTTCTTGGAAATATATCCTGTATTTCTTTGATGCTGTTAGCTTGTTTTTTTAAACATCAAACCCATCTCTCCTCTTTGAATGGTCTCTTTAGTGAAGTTTCAAGGTACAAAATGTATGAAATTATTTTAACATGAGCATTGTTGGCTGCCTCTTTAAGCATTTTCTCCCTTTGGCACCTCATACTAACAATACTCCCCAAGCAGTACAATAAATTTTCCAGTACATTATATATGATAGGCAGACTGTTGAAGAATATTAAAACAGGCTAAGAAATTTTCATAATGGTTAGTGAGCAAAAGATTCTTCCAAGGATTCAGATTGACACATTTGGAGTGGATTAAATTTATCCAGAGAATTAAATTTACATCAAATGAACATAAAGAAATACACAGCACAATCTAGGACTCCTCTCTGTGTTTTGCATGACTAGCATATTTACTGAGATGTCCTTCAGTCATTCTGATTTTGTCATTATTATTCATCATCATGAAGAGTCTTGTAGTCTTACAAGCTGAAGATTTAAGTTGATTTTATGGGTTCCTAAAACTATAAGGAAAAGAATTCATAAATTTCAGCAGCAATTTAGATAATGCAGGATCATACTGCATGAATTTAAAATGAAACTAGTGGATGATAAAGATGTAGATTTTCCTACAGTTTCATATTACAAACAGTTACTAAGTTCCCCTGTTTTTAAAGCACAGGACCACAGATAACTTCCAAAACTCAAAGTCAAAACGATCACAGGCTAAGGTTGGAGTTCTAAAGACACTCATGATCAACATTTTCAATTATTATTTGCATATATAATCAAGCCTGATACTAAGACAGTTTTCCTTCTAGTCTGCATAGAGGTTTGAGGAGATCTCTTGTCTACCTGGAGTAGTCAAGATTTTGAAAATTTTAGGCAAACATTGTCAGGATTATCTTCCAATTCAACAGGAACTTCAGTTTTTGGAAAGAATCATAGAATTTTTCTAATATCTAAGCTAAATTTCCCCTCCTTCAGTTTGAACCCATTACCCCATGTCCTATCACTGCAGTTCCTAACACAAAGTCCCTCTCCAGCTCCTTGTAGGCCCTTCAGAGATTAAACATTGCTATGAAGAAAATGCAGTTTTACTCTGAGATCTGTTCAAAAAACACAAAACCAAGCAAATAAAAGGACTGGAATTGTCAAGATACAAAAATCCATCCAAATCTAAGTTTCTGAGGACCAAACGTTTGGAGATTTTTCAGACATCATTTTATTTTAACGAATTCTAAGAAGAAATGGAAACGCAAGGTGTGTTCCACAGAAATCTTAAATCCACATGGCTTCTCTTCACTGATCTGTTCCTTTCCCTGCTAAAACTCCTCAGACATACAGGGAAAATTAGCTTTTCTGAGCTGTTATGACAAAGCCACTAGAGCAGAACATCATCACTGACATGTCTGACGTTGATCTGTCTACTCATCATTCTCAAGGTTCTACCAAGTCTCTCCAACCTCCTCATGTCTCATTCCCAGAGGTAACTCTCACCTTCTCCCACTCCCGATCGTTGTTCAGCACGATCACCACCAGCCTGGGGTGTGCCTGATAACCATCTGCTGTAAAGGACAGATCTCTACCTTCCCAAGTCACATTCATCATAAACCTAGAAGACAAGGTAAAAAAAAGGTCAGTGAAAAATTAATGAGCAGCTAGTTCAGTCATCAGAACCACTGATTAAATACATGCACCAAATCCTGCACTTGCAGCGTGGGGATTTGGAGCATTTCAGGGCAGTTCATAGTATAAAACAAAGCAAAATCTTGTTTATGTATGAATTGTAATGTAGATATCATTTTTAAAGCAGCTTCTACATTATATATGACCTGTTCACCCCAGGAATAATCTTTCTGGCACACTGCACAACCTCACCATCTTTTCAGGACCATTTTAAACACATCTACATCAGCTCTGTATGTAATATTATACTTATATATTGTCTGACTGAGTAGTACTCAGAGCAAAGTGCATCTGCTCTGTCTTTCCCTGTTCAGACCTCCAAGAGTCTGCTCAGCCCTTCCCAACACAGTGTTTTTGTGACACATGGATCCATTCCACTAATGCCCAAACCAGACATGAACACTTTGAAGGGGTTGACAATACTTCAGTTCAGCAATTTCAGAAGGAAATTCTTTTTTATTTTTTTTTTTGTGTCTAGGTTAATTTTCAACGGTTTTCAAAAGACATATAAATTAATTAGCACTTTGAACAGGAAAAAAACCCAGAATGACCCAGAATAAAATGCGGAGAATAAAATATTGGGAAAAAAAATAAGGGGAACATGGAAAATTTAGTGGAAGAAAATCAAAACTCCACACTGTCAATGTGAGCCTGAGAGGGCTATCCCATAGGTAAGAGGTAAAACCACAATTCCAAACCTTGCTGAGCCCATGGCACTTGTAGAAGATAATTCTCCCTCCACCCCATGTCCATGAGCTGAAGTTAATCACACTGAATTCTCAGCATATCCCACTGAAAGAAGTTCAGCCCAAAACTGATGCAGACAGATGTGCAGGTGTCCATCCCACAGGTAAGTGTGCTTGGAAGGGCAGAAAGTTACTTTAACTATATTTTATACATTGCTCAGTAATGTTTTACCCACAAGAAACTGATACTCCTTTACATGCTTATATGGGTTTGGAGGTTTATTGGTTGGTTGGTCTTTGTGACTGGGGTTTTTTTAACAGCAATAGTAGCATAGACTCCTGGGGACTGGGACAGACAAAATTCTTCAGCTTCCTATTCAAAGGAGAAGGCTTTGTATTGACACAGCTGCCTGAAAATCCCAACAGCAGAATCACACTGAATAAAGATATATAGACCCAGAAGAAATAATGGCATTGTATCCTAACAGTTCATAATTAAATGTGCACTGCCCTGAACAGCCATAACAGACATATTAACATCAGTCAGCACTGGCTTGACAGCGATTTGTAAATTCTCCCATCGTAATAACTCATAGTTTGTGACAGAGTTTCAGCGTGAAAATTTTCCCCTTGGCAGAACTTTGCTGTTCAGTTGAACTAATTTCCCATATATTCCATTTTTCATCCAGTAGCAGAAGAGCTTGCATGGGAACAAAAAGCTTGTTTGCCACCTTAAGAGGCAGCAAAGCACCAAACAAAAATTACTTGGCCACACACATCAGAATCCAGAGTAACATTCATTCACTGCTGAAAATCAAAGGCATTCTGACCCAAAGGATGAAACACCCCCCACAATGAGCACATCATCTGTCAGGGCCAGGCAGAAACCACCTCATGTCAACAAACCTGAAACCCAAGGATTTTGTCTCCTCTCATGGGCTGGAGCACAAATACACACACTGTACTACATCAAGCTTGGGTTTTTAGAACTATGTAGACATTGGTGATTGGACTTGAGCTGAACCCTTCTTTTATATAGTTTGGTGGATCACCACTCCAGATTTCAAACACCACTCATCATATTTTGGGACTAATATGCAAATGTCCCTGCCTAGAGACTAGTCAAGGGCCATCACAAGATGCAGTGCTGATGTTCAAGTGTTCCAAAAAGAAATATGAGCCACAAATCCAAACTGAACTCAGTGTATATTTTTAAACCTTGGGAATTCACCAGCTAAAAGTAGCAAAACACATCTTGCAAGTTTAAAAAAAAAAATAAAGTCCTTAATCTGTAAAAATCTCTTCAAATTGCATTGTCTGATCAGGATACAAAGGTACCTGTGAGTGACGCAGGCTGAGCTACCCCAGTTTCTCACACTGCAGCAATAAAAAAGAACTTCAAAGAGATTCTTGTTTTCCCAAGCACATTCTTCTGTACAAAAATTCATCAGCTGCCTGTGTTCTGCAGAAACCAATACTTACAGCCTACATTCCCTCTTGAATTGTCAATTTTCCTCTGCAAAGGACAGAAGTCCTGCTCTCCTTTTACTGGCTAAGATCCCAAACTTCTTGTCTCTACCAAAAAAAACAACTGTGTGCTTTTCTGTTCCTGCTTAGGGAAAGTGGGATAAGGAAAGCATTTATATTATGTTATTCTTACAGAGTTTTAAGTTTATCCAAGAATTAATTCTGTGCAAAATGTCTTTGGCTTCTGAACTGGACAAAATATATTTCTGAAGTAGCTTTGGAAGGGCATATTCCTGTTCCAAACTAAATGAGGTGCTACCTGAGCTCGTTATTTTAAGGGGCAATTCAGCACAGACCTTGGATTAGCAGCTAATCTGTTTTTATACCTCATTAATGCTACAACCTTTGCAAAGACATGATAGCAGGAGGCCTTGTGATGGTATTGTGATACTGAAGTCTTAATTAACTTTTGCAAACTGAAATTTGTAAGATTCCCCAGGTGATAACATGTATCAAAATGGCTTTTTTCTTTTTTTTTTGGATAGAAGTTAAGTTATTCTCACACCAAATCCAAAGCAAGAACCAAACATTTACTACATTTTTAAAAATGCTTTTAAACATTTATACAATTCTTTCAACACCACAGCAGAACACTGTTCCTGTTGTATTTACAGCAAACCTTTGAAGCACTGAGCTTACAAACTTCTCTCTAGGCTTCCAACTTTATTTTGATAGACTCAGAAGGATCAAGTAGTTCACATAAAGCTTCAGATTAATGCCAAAGCTGTGCAATATTTATCCCTGTCAAAATGCTGACTCTATCCAGAAAGACAGAACACATTGGGTAAGGTGTGTTTTCCTATCCTGTAGATACTATATCACAACTTCATTGACTCTAATTTACAATAACAAATGGGCAAAGACTTTGCCAAAAGGATCAGAGCTCAGTTCTCAGAAGACCATTTGCTTGAGTACAATATTGCTGACTCTGAGGCATCTTTCTCTCCAGTCTCCTCACAGAAGACATGGACCTTGTCCATGAGGAGTTTGTTAAGGATTTCCTCTACTGTGTGAGAACAGTTGAAACCTCAGGAGAGCCATGACCATTCCTGGAGCAGAATCGTCAAGATGTTCTACTTCTGTGTTATACAACAGCAATGGCATTTCTTCTGAGGTTTACCAAAGAGCTCCCCTAACAGATGCAAAGATTTGAGAGCAAAAGCAAGAAGGTTTAGTGGATTCTGTCTTGGGCATTAAGGAAAAAAAAAAATCCCACAACGTTATGTAAACTATAAAGATCACTTTGTCTCAAACAAAGATTAAACCTAGCCTTGGTTTCACAAACTTCTCTGGGTGATGAGAGAAAACAAACAAGAGTGAAAGCACAGCCCTGCCAGGGAGGGGCATCCTCACAAATATTCATGTCCTCAGTATGGACACTCTCCTGCCCACCCACCTGTGTCCCAGGTGACCCTCAGCTCAGGCTCAGGAGCACAGCCAGCTCAGCAAGAACAGGCTGGTTTATAGTTAGTGTGAATCCACCTGGAATGCAGCTCCCAAACAGAGCAGCAGCTGGGAAAAGTAGACTGGGTAAGGCAGAGGCATTAATGAAAACATGTCACTTCTAAGCTACCTCCAAAGGAGAGAGCTTAGTCACTAGACCTGTGAAGTAAAGCCCAAGGTGTGATGGCTGCAGGGAGCAGAAAGCCCATGGGACTCCTCACTGCCATCAGTTCTGCCCCACATTTTCTGCCCTCATCCTGCAGCTCAGAGGAGATAATCAAACTTTAAAAAGTCCCCAGGTGCCATCAGCAGGGACTATCATTTTTTATCTAGTGCCTCCATCACCATGGGGCAGAGTTTCCGATCTGTGGCGACCGCAGGCAACGAAGAGAAGCAGCAGAGACTTGGGGAAATGCATGTTCCATAAAAGAAACTCTCCTCCTTCTCCCTCAAAGAAGGAATTTCCAAACTGAGATGTAAAGCAGATGAAATGTCTCAAAACCAACATGTTATCTGACGATATTTTCCTTCCTGCAAATAGTGTAAAACCAACCATTTTAATAATCTAGACAGCCAGGCTGTCTGGGCTTGGCATTCACTCAGCCTCATACCTAAAAAAGCAGGAGTGAATCCAAATTTGGTCTTTTCTTCTTTATCTTGTCGAGGCTCTGAACTGCTGAACTTCCTTACTATGATTCTACCGTGAAATCTGGATGATACTTATCAACGGAAACCCCAAGAGAAATTATTTATCATCAAGAAACAGATTTCCTCTGTAAAATTAATTCAAGAAATGCTTAATGTAGAATATATGATGTGTATAGAAATATGTCTGCAATAGATCAGTATTCAACAAGGTACTGATGCAGTTTTTAGAGTCGATTTTATATCTTAGGCTATGTAGGATTTTATTTCAAAATTCAAATTCTTCACAGTGATGCAAAGAGTCTCTTCATCTCTGTGCATCCTCCTCCTCCTCCACTTCCCCCAGCCCTTGCTCTCCTGAGTAACTCCACAGCAGTCCCTTGCTTTGGAGCTGAATCTCCCTAGGCCTGGAGCCAGCATGGATGAGTAAAACTTTGGGAGGGATATGCTACAGTGACTGGGAAAAAGGAATGACACGCCAACTACTTGTACCTCCTGCCAGCTGCTCCTTGAAGCATTAACTGCCACAGGGACTGGGAAAGTCATTTTGCCCCAGTTCTCCCAGACAAACAACAAAACTCTTGGGGAGCCTTTCTGAAAGGGAGGCAAGGGGAGGGAGCAACAT